CAGAAAAAAAAGTTGCCAAATGACAAAATGAAAAACTCTAGGCTGGGTATGGTGATGCAGGTCTGTAACCCCAGCACTCCAGGAGGCTAAGGCATAAGGATCATAAATTCAATCTGAGCCTGGGACTTTTAGCAATTTTATGACACCCTCTCTCAAAATAACAAACAACAAAGGTCTGGGTAATAGCTCAGTGTGAAGGCCCTTGATTTACTCTCTGTTAACAGAAAACAAATAAAAAACAACTATTCTATATAAAATCATCTAAATATAGGATGTACATTTTAAAAGAAACACACTGCTCTCAGTTTTACCAAATAAATGAAAACAATGCTGTTATAGTTTGTACCTAGATGTTTCCCTAAAGCATCATGCAATCATGGGGGTGAGCTTTCGAGTTTGTGATTGACTCATGGTCTAAGGCTGGGATTAAAGGCGTGAGTCCTACGCACGCCCTGGGGTAGGCAGCCTGCACACAACGTAAGGGGCAGGAAGACGTTTCTCTCTCTCTTTGTTGCTTTTGCCCAAAATAAACTGCCCTCCTCTGTGAAGCCATGTTACCTTGGAGCCGGCAGATTATGGACTGAAACCTCTACGATGAGCTAAATAAACCTCTTCCCCCCTTTACCTTTGGGCGTCAGATATTTTGTCCCAGTAAGAAGAGAAGTAACTAAGACAGACACATATAATTTTTATTTTAATTTTGATAATCACAAACAGTACAAAATTAAGTCACTGTTCTATAAAGGAAACACTGCAAGAACATAAACTCATCCAAGTTCACTCTGGTGATTAGCTGCTGTAGGAATAAAGCTTATAGAACCTAGAAGAATGATGCTTTAATATACCTCTTAGACGATTCCATAGTTCTTGTACAAAAAATTTTGCTTTGTTAATTAAAAGCCAATTGATTGCTTTTAGAAGACAAATGTATTAAACTATAAGCCAGAAATATGCATTTATTTCCATGGACAGAGCTTTTAGCCCACAAGAGCAGGAAGACAGAAACACTTCTAGCTTTCCTGTCCTAGAGCTCTCATCATCCAACTAACCTACATACACACATCCCTTCCTCTAAAGCATTTTCCATGATCTGAACATTCTCATTTCCATAACCCAGTCACAGTCACTTAGCACTGAGTGAAAAAAACAATGTACAATAGTAGTATACATGTCAAATAATATACTGCTAATTCAACTGATATAATTGGTTGCTATGGACTTTGGAAGAATTTTAAAAATCTAAAAATTATTCCTACAATATCTCTCCCTGAAAGGTTCTGATAAAAGTTTAACTCCACCACTCTGCTGCAGCCTTAACAGCACAAGGGTCCAAACTACGTTTCAATAACCTTAACTGGGAAGTGGGCTTGGGTATTCTTTGTTCTCTCACCAACTGTTCATTTCTTAATCTCCAGGAAGATTCTCTGTGTTTCAGATTTCAGATTAAATTTGGATACAGGTGGTACCATTAGGAGACAAATCAAGAATATGTACAATCCAGATGGAGAGGTTAAAATCCTCTGGACTGTCCTTTAGTTTAACAAAACTTACAAAATCTACGTTTTAATAGCTGATTTTCTGGAGATCACAAGATTTCCTTTCGCAAATGCCCTTGATGGAATTAATGAGAAAGGGAGAGAAAAGCATATGTTTAAATGCCTGGGGGCATCTAAAACAAAGGAAGAGACTGCAGTTTATTAACGCAATTCCAACACTCACAGCATATTACTTGCTGTAAATATTCCAGAACAACATGCACCACACAGTCAAATCTCTGTAACTAATGTGATTATAGACTTTAAGATGGTTACATTTACCGACTAAATATTGGTCAAAATAGTAGCTAACATTTAGACATCTGCTTTAAAGAGAGGCATCCTTTCCACCTGCTTCTATGGACTACAAAGATACACTCTAGTTAACATATTACTGACAGGATGATGAGAAAGCTCCTGTCAGATGCTGGCCAGCTGGGTGTTTGAGACAAAATGCACAGCCCCAGCTGACTAGTTACAGAAAGTCTAGTGAGGTACAATTATAGAGGCATATGACAAGGCTTCATGCCTGACTGATTTGAGAACCGATGACATGGCTTTAAACAGCAGTACTCCCTACCTATGGTCACAAAACAGCAATAAGTCAACCGATACAACCTTGTAGTATCATGATTTATTCCTTTGCTTTGAATGAATGAGACTCTAATATAATGTTCTGCTAGTCCATCAAGACTCACTTGGGGCCTAAACATCTAAGGCCTGCCTACAGCATGCATAAAATCAATGTTGTTCAGGATTGCCAGAAACCATTCCATGTGTACTTCATAAGGTATAAATCAAAGAATAAAAACAAAATGGATTGTGTCCTAATTCATTAAACTCAAACATGAAAAATATAAGGGTCAGTCCTAACACAATGCTACACTTCCAGAAATGGGAGGGAAACCTGTTATACAAACATTACCAATTATCATTTAAAATTACAAATGGCACTTGAACAAAGGGACCCTCAGTTTAGCCACGAAAAGCTCATGGCAAGCCGTAATATCAGTAATTCTATAATAATGAAAATTTGTGATTATCAAAGAGTAAATAACGAAGGAAAATAAAATTCCTAGCAGAAGTATAAATGTTAAGGTATTTCAGCCTGTGTGTTCTAATAACAAAATTTTGTTACAGATTTAAAAGATGATCGAGAGATAAAACACAACTTGTATTAATTAGGTCTGTAAGATTCATAAAAAAATAAAGAATACAAAAAGCTTAAATCCATTATACTACTTAAATTCATTAATAATTATTCTTTTTTGCAAGTTTCAGAGATTCTATTAAACTCTTCTTAAAGAATGGGATATCCCTAATTTACGTTATGACACTCAGTCCTTGACCTTAAATGTTACTATGCATGAAATTTATGGTTAGCATATATATGAAGCATGCTTATAGCACATAGATGTTCGGCATATTAACAGCAGATATATAGCATAAAATAGGAGAATTATTCATAACAGGTAAGTAAAGCAGTTTCCTCTATGTAAGAAGGATGAGAAGAGCATGAAGTACACCTGAACTATGTTTATTTTCTCATCCCTTCTGCTGCAGAGAGTAAACCAAGCCAGAGCTGGTAACTTAGAGAATATCATCAAAGAGTTTTCATGAATAGTCATAAACAATTGGTATTACATTAACCTTCAACATATGAAACAATCCCTTGTGTAGTAACAAGCTTTTTAACAATTTTTTTTAATTTTAAAAATAAAAGGAGGAAAACATTAACAGACAGACAACCTTCTACAAAATAGCAGAAAAGCAGTACAGACAATACAGAGTTACAAACAAAGTAGTAGGAAATTAACAATGCTTGTTGTTTTTTGAGTAAAATATTAAATTAAAGGCTAAGCATGTTAGTTTTTGGTCTAAACCACAGACCTAGACTATTACAAAATTGAAATTAGTAAACACTGAACATTATCCTATGCAGATACAAATCTAAGTACTTTATTTAAATGTATACACCTCCTTAATCTTTCTAGTAGCCTAAGAAATTAAGACTATTAATTAAGACTATAAATTGGACTATAAATTATTAATTAAGACTATAAATTAAGTGATGGTTATTACCGTCACTTTATATGTGAAGAAATCAAGTCAAACAGAAGCTATTCATTAAGATAGGGAAACAAAATAAAACAAAAAATACACAAACATTTTGAAGAACATATAAGCAGACTTATTTCTACCATTTTCCTATATACAGCAGTTTATATTTCATTCACATATCTTATTCCTTTACCTTCTTCAAATCTCTGCTTAAATTCTACCTTATTAAAAAAGCATTCTTTCCACGAGCACCTAATATAAAATAAAAATCTGCTCCTCGTCTTCCACCCTGACACATACTCACTTTATCCTTTCTCCCCTGGGACTCATCACCATATGACATAATATCAATTACATATTCAAAATCTCAAAACTGTATTCCTTCAATTGTAAGGTAATGGAAAAGACTCAAATCATAGAATCAGAAGAATCAGTTTTCACATTAGTGACCTACAATAAGCCTTGGGGTGGCCATTTAACTTCTCTGAAATACTAACTTCTCACTATTAAATACTAAACAGAGATCCTAGAAAAATCTTAAAACTCCTTCTATCCTATAATGCTATGGAATGTAATTTTGTTTCTACTATAAGAAAATACAATATTAAAAATATGATTTTATTTTTGTCAAGTAAACCCACTGTGGAAAAGCAAATTCATGGAATATTCACATTTTTTAATATTCCATAGATTACTCAAAATGTTAAATTTGTTTTAAAAACTTGAAGTCAAATATATCAAATTTTTATGCTTAATGGAGAAAAAATTATGAAATACAGAAAATACTTTGACCATTTTTGAATGACCCAAGAAAACTCCTTCTGTGCTCACTGCCTTTACCACAGAAGTGAAGACCTTCCAAAAGAATATCTGAGTGTCATAAAACCCATGATTAATAAAAAATGCTACTTTGACTTTTAAGTTATTATCAGTCTGAATAGCTCCTCCAAATCAGAACTATTATAGAATCTACTCCTGAACCACTACTTGGCAACAAAGATGAATCTACCTATTACCAGGTTAGGACAGAGCTATTATCATGACCCCTCGATTTCTTTCAAGCAGGCTCCAATGGAAAAAGCCACAAGTGAATAATAAAGATCTCATAATAGCTCTTAAGAATTCTTTATATGGTGGAAGGGAGGAAAATGAACTCTACAGAGTTAAAAAAAAAAACTCTCATCTTCTGATAAGAAAAAATAATTAACCTGACTTAATGCATCTGAGAAGGCTTTCTATAAATCAGACTTTTGTACTTCAAGAGCTAGATTAAAACCATATATATAAATGTAGAGATTGTCTTATGAGTACACACAGCACACTGCTAAAACTGCAGAGGTTTTTAGGCCTTTCTGTGAAACACTCAATACACACTACTTACCAGGAGACGTGTGAAGTACTTACAGTGCTTAATTTGCTAGAGGTAATAATGATGCGCCTCTCGTGCAGCATACTGGCGTACAGTTGCAGCATATTGTTCACATCCACGGCAACAAAATATTCTGTGAGATTTCTCTGTACAAGTGAAGAATAACTGTAAGTTACCGCTCATGGTGAACACAAAGAAAAACATTTTATACATTTACAGCAGTTCAAAGATGGAATTCATTAAAATAATTAAATTTAATACTCTTCTGCCACATGAAGCATGTAATATTCTACTATTCTTTGAAACATAACCCTATTCCACAAAAACATTTCTCAAAGGTTGATCAGAGAACCAAGTATTTCTCAGTCTCTCCCACTCCAAACACAACAAGTATTTGAAAAGAAGCTGATATCCTGGGCCCCAGGATATCAACCTTTTGTGCTACTATCTTCCGAGTATGGTCCGAAGAATCTGATTTTTAAACAAATTCTACTACTGCTGATTGTATACACTCATGGTTCACAGAATGCTAGTCCAGAAAACACATTTAAGTCTTTTCATATTTGCTATTCACTCTACAGTTAAAACTACCGCCTCCTACTACATACTATACACAAGGCACCCAAATCATGAGGCAGATTTATATGCAGACTTTGCTTCTTTATTTAAGAAAATCTCTTGTTTATATCCCACATCAGGCTTGCTCTATACCACTGTAACCAAATGCAATATGATGATGTTCTAAAGTGATTCTTTAGCACTCTAAAGGAGGTAATTTATATATATATATATATATATATATATATATATATATACATATATTTTCAAAACAGCTAATTTGAAGGCAACAATAGGCAATATAACAAGCAATGTTGAATTCCTACCATCTTGTTTAGTTAAGCTCTGTATCGTTTCTACTTTTTTTTTTATTATTCTTATTCTTTTTAGTTGTTCGATCAATCTTGCATTCTTACATCTGGTAATTTGAGCAATTTTGCTGAAGATAACAATATGTAACATAACCACCAAAGGAAGTAATTTTTAGATGAAGAATTATTTCTCAGCACAGAATAGTGCTTTATGTGTACATCCTTGCTTTTTTTTCCCTAAAAAGGACTCTTTGCAGAATAAAATGTGTCAATGGCAATATAAAACTTGTATTCTCAAGCTGGGCGTGGTGAAACCTCCCCACAATCCCACCGCTCTGTGAGGCTGAGGAAAGAGGATCGCAAGTTTGAGCCTAGCCTGAGCAATTTAGTGAGACCCTGTTTTAAAATTCAAAGTTTAAAAAGGGCTGATGTATTCTGTGTGGTAGTTTTCATGAGAATGTTTGCCTCTGTAAAATATTCAAAGCAATAATCTTTTTTTTTAATGTGACATTTTTAAAATAAAGCTACCAGCTGTTTGCTAGTAAATGTGAGAAAAAGTTAAGGAGAGAAAGCAGAAGGAAGTAACGCTAACTTTGCATCGCATACTGAAGTGAAGGGCCACTAAGCTCTGGCATGCTCAGTGGTCCTTAAGGAAAACCTAGCAGAAGGAACCTTGACCCTAGCACACAGCAGTCAAGACTTGAGGGTCTATTAGGGGACCCAAGAGCCTTGATGGTCTGTTTCAGGCTCACATTTACAATAACTCAATGAAAAAATCTTTTGATAGAGGCTGACTGAAAGACTCTTTTCACAGGGTTTCATAGAATTCATCTGTACTAATTAAACCGTTTTTATCTGATAGTCTTGACTAGATATTAGAAAATTTATGCTTGTCTTCTTGGTCTCCATTGATTACCTATGTATGTTTAGGAAGCAAATACTCAGTAGGCTTGAGAAGATACTTAGAAAAGCAGTAAATAATGTTATCTGGAAATATTTTTCCCTATTGATTTTTCCTTCACTTTTGATTGAATCTCAGGACCTAACTGAATATATATGACCTTACCTAACTATTCCAAATGACAGAAATATTTTTTTCCTCAGGTCTTTTTTCTTATCAACAATGGCTATTAAGAAAGGTGTAATGGGGCAGAGGAAAAAAAGATAACACTGTTACTACTTTTCTCTTCATTTTTTTCTTACAAACACTATTACAATGTATCTCATATCTCTGCACAGAAATGTATAAACAGGAAGACTAAAACAATAAAATTTGTAATGCAAGTGGAGTGATAAAGGTAAAAATCAGAAAACTTACACTCTCAGGTATTGTTGGGAGTCCAGTCATATCAGGGGCAATGAAGTAGGAATGCTAATCAGTAGAAATAAATCATAAAGAAAAAGAATTAAAACTTTAGGTTAAAATAAGAAAAATGTATTGACTAAATTAATAACAGCCAAGGACTGACACTAAGGATTTGCAGAATTAGAGACACTCTTGCTTGAGACAGGAGGTTTGTTCGATTTAATAAGAACTTTCTCATATCAGACGTTACTGGTTAAAATGCTGTACTTTAAAATTGAACAGAAATGCAGTAAGAATCCTGGTGAAAATTTTAATGCAAAAAAAGTATATTACCAAATTAAGATAGATAGCTACATAGATAGATAGACAGACAGATAATAAAACTTTACTACTTGGTAAAGTACTGAAATAGTTTTACTTATGTTATTTTTTCTTATCAACAACAGATACTAAGAAAGGTGCAATGGAGCATAAGAAAAAAGATATATAATACATGTGCATAATAAGAAACACACAAATATGAATATTATTAACACATACACAGTTCGGGTAATACTGGAAATATAAACCTTGCTAACCCCAAAATATACCAAAATCTCTTAAATTTCCTGAGTTTCTATCACAAATCACAACAAATCTCTTCTGTAACTATCAGCTAGTACATTATTTAGAGGCAGCTTAAAGCATAAATTTTAATGCTTAAAACTAAGTTACTCATCTCAAAGTATTATTCTCATATATCCTCTAAACAAATACTGACATCTTCACTCTACAAAGTGATACAATTCACTGAAATATTTATTTTAAAATAATATGATGTATATGCCCTCATTATTCCCATAATATTTACAAGTTTTATCAGTCAGAACCAAAGTGCAACTTAATCATCAAATGTATCTCAGCAGTTTATTTTCTGTTCATATTAATCTCTAAAGTTATTTAATGTCTTAATCACAAAGGATATCAATAAAAATTATAGTTGGAAAGAAATTATCAAGCCAATATGTGGGCATAATTCCACTAGTCAGAACAAGGTTAATTAATACAGTCAGAATGCATCATTTTCCAATGTGGAAAAAAAATATAAAGTAAGTCACAAGATTACCTTGTGACAGGAATGTCACGCTATGAATGTAATTTAGAGTACTACTACGACTCACAGATTTGGTCTCTATTAACTACTTTTATTTGTGGTTTTGATAGCAGTGTATTTCATAAAACTGTGTTATAACATCATTAAAAGATAGTATAAACAGAAAATACACGCCAAGTGATTAATTTTTAAGAGTCAATTTATAACTTCCCAAGGGACTAGAGTGAATTTTAAAGACAGAGAAAGAAATAATGATTTTCCCCCTTTAATACTGATTTGTAGAAGCCAATGTCCTTTTAACTCACCGGTATTAGTGAGAGCTGATCTTTCAGAATTTGCTCACTGGCAATAAATATCTCTTGATTCTTACAATATATGAGAGAAAAATGAGTATTTTACTTTCAAGGGGAAGCTTTCAAAAAATTTCTGTGTGTTTGACACAAATGCATGCAGCTACATTATCCACTGAAAATACTTCAATACCAATTGTAAATATTCTTCTAAATGCTGATTTGCTAATTTTGTGCTAGAAAAAAAACTAAAGAAAATATTTTAATTTGGTCAAAGTAGAGAATGTGGTGGATATTTAATGCTTTTGAAATAGTGCTTCTTAAAAATTGCTTAACACATAAACTTTTTATAAAATCTCTGATAGTTTAGTGACCATTACCCACTTGCAGGAACAAAAACTTCTATTACCATTGATTTCAATTTGACAAGGAAAAAATAAAATCTGTACTAGTAGCTGAAGATAAATATTCTAGACCAAAATTGCCCCTCATTAAGACCAGAACACTTGGCCCGTAATGTTAGCTGAAAACAAGTGCAATTATTAATGACCTTTATACAAAGGTAAACAGCAGCTGCTTTTACCAGGATGTAACATAATGTAGCCTGAGAACAAGTGTACCAGATTTGAAACCTCAAAAACCTAGCTGTTGAACAAGTATTTCAACATCATCACTACTGGAGAAAAGAAAATCAAAATACAATGTGTTATCATTGCAACCTAGTTACACAGTTATTATCAAAAAGACAAAACAAATAATGAATGTTAAGGATGCAGAAAAAGGAAAACTCTCATACACTGCTGGTGGGGATGTAAATTACTACAGCCATTACAGAAAACTATACTAAGGTTCCACAAAAAATTAAAAATATAAGAGCTGTATGATCCACACTCCCACAACTGGAAGTGTACCTAACGGAAGAGAAATCGGTTCTACAATTCCATGTTCACTGCAACACTAACCACAAGGCCAAGATATGAATTCTAGCTAAGAGCTCCTCAAAAGTTATATGGATGTTTGAAAATGGGGCATATATCCATAACTGAATACTATTCAGCCATCAAAAAAAAAATGAAATCCTGTAGTCTGAGGCAATGGATGAACCTGGAAGAAATTATGTGAAGTGAAATAAGCCAGAAACAAAATGACATCCACATGATTTCACTCATATATGGATCTAAAAACCTGGATCTCATGGAAGCAGAGACATCAAGTGTAATCACCTTCATGGATCATTATACAATGGATACATGTATCACGCTACACCCCATAAATATGGACAATTATTCTATGTCAATTTAAAAGAAAATAAAACAAATGTCAAAAAAGAACATATTTTTCTTTCTTATTAGTATTGCACAATAGCTGCCTCTACTGTCTTAGCACTTTTACTTCTGTTTTCCTTAGCTCCTTAACAAAGTGTTAAGATCACTTCACAAATGTAATACTTTCAAAGAAAACTGATATATATTTTTTTAGAAAAGCCAAAGCTTTTCTTTGTTCTCCACTGTTCTGCTGCACTAGCACTAACTGCATTCTTTTGGCTTCGATGACCTATGTAAGCATGAATTTCTCCTCACTCTTTTATTGATGTCCTTTCTTCTTCCTTAATGTCTGTTTGGGCAACTAGACCTTTGCCTCTCCTCCACACTCTCTATCATCTATTCTTCAACTGCTACAATTTATATCTGCTCATGATTCCCAAATCTGTGTTAAAAAAAATTCCAGTTATCTTGAGCGTTCAACCAACCAAGCTCCAAACAATCACTAAACATTTCCACAGTAGCAGGATGGAATGTAAGAGTGCAGACATAAGGCACCAGGATGAAGGGAAGATAGAACATTTAAGCTTTATGGGATCCACTGAACCAGTTCTAAAGTCAGACAGTTTACGAAGGGGCTTTAGCAGGAAATTATGATGCTAATTCTAGAAGCTGAGAGAACAATGAATTCAGGAAAAGACAGTGAGACTAAAAAAAAAAAAAAATTAAATAAAGCTAAGAAATGGATAGTCCTCCTAACAGCCTGACCAACTGTGTGGATGAATTCTATATAATAACTTTTTAGCAGGTGACTTTACATAGCTTAAGGCAGTCTTATCTGGCAGTGTTTTGAATAGAGGATTAGAAGAAGAGGCTGCAAGAGCAATTTCAGGTGCCCCACATTGGAACTACGGTGGTGACAGTGGAAATTTTAAAAACTGAGTAATGTAAGAGAACACTATTATTAAATGAAACACGAGGAGAAAATTTAAGCAAGAAGACAGCACTCGGCAGGCTGAAGCAGGAGGATCACTGCGAGTTCAAGACAAGCCTGGGCTGCAAAGTGAGCTCAAAGCCAGCCTAACCCTGTCTCAAAAAGACAAAAAAAAAGGAAGAACATTATTACCAAAACAGAATGTAAGATGAGTTTCCTTATCTTGAAAAGATTCAAGACCTTAATTATGTATATTTCAAGTTATTTTTCCTTGCAGTATTTCTTGCATCATTAAGTTTGTTCTTTTCTGAGACAGAAATTTATTATTATTTTGGAAAAAAATCAATAAAATAAATGTTAATTCTATTGGGCATACCAAATTAATAAAGACTATTAATGAAAACATTCATAACATTTTAACGAACCTTGAACATCTACAAAACTGAATGTCATTTTAGACACAGATGGCACAGTTCATTGTATATATTAATAGTAAATAACCTATCTCATAACAGGTTTTCTGTTTTGGCAAACCTCACTGATATTTCCAGTATTTTGTTACCACATTAGAAGATGTAATGAAGTATGGGTAAAGAGAACTCTTAACCGAAAATTTTCACCCTGTGTATTATACGCCATTTTCTGTTTTGTTAAGTACTCTTTTTGTTTTAGGAAAGGTAGCATGTGTGTGTGTGTGTGTGTGTGTGTGTGTGTGTGTGTATTCCTTTACTATGCATGCATTACAATGAAAAATTAACGGTCCTCATAACCAAAATATTCTTACAGATCTGGTTATTTTCAGTTCATAATAAAGTTTGTTAATTGTGCAATTTTAATACCTACCAAAACACACAAGTAATATATCAAATTTAATAGTTACGGCATGTGCAAAGCTTAATACTATTACCTAATATTAGTAACATCACTCCCTTTTCTTAGCAACAGAAGTGACTTTGCAGACAATTTCTATAAACTGTTCTTAAGGAAAAAATTATTGACTCCAAAAAAAAGATTATATACTTACCATACTCAGATTGACAGAAGTGTTTGCTTTTGGTACTGGGTGGTTATAGAGTGATTTGAGAGTTTCATTCAAATCATTTTCCTTGAATCAAGAAAAGTATATTTAATAAATAAAATATATACCAAGCAAACAATCAAACATACCCATGTGTATTACTGATGGGAACATAAAATACTACAGGCACTATGGAAAATGGTATGGCAGTTTCTTAAAAAAAAAAATGACACATAAAATTATTGTATTATCCAGTATGCATATTTGTAGACATAGTTAAAAAAACTGGAATAAGAACTAGAAGTGGTATTTGTACAGCCATCTGCCACAGAAGCACTGTTCACAATAGTCAAAAGATGGAGGTAGCCTAAGTGTCCCTTAACAGATGAATACTTTATAATATACACATATAATAGAATGTTACTCAGAATTAAAAAGGAAATTCTAACATGTCCTTTAATATGAGAATCTAGAACACATTTTGATAAGTAAAATAAACCAGTCACATAAGGACACTGTGCGATTGCACTTCTATGAGGTACACAGACTCTTACAGGTACGCAGTACAAAGGTGGCTGCCAAGGGAGAGAAGCAGGAGGGCGAGGAAACAGGTATTGTTTAATGGGTACAGAACTTCATCTCAAGCTGAAAAGTTCTAGAGATGACTGGTATCAATGGTTGCAGAACACTGGAATGTATTTACTGACAAAACAACCACACATTTAAAATGGGTGAAGTGGGAAGCTTTATAGTATGTATACTTCAACACTATAAAAATAAGAAATAGCATAGCTTACCAATTCCTTAGCCAAGTAATCTGCCAAAGTATTGAGAAGCTTGTAGTACACTTCAAACCATGGCAGGTAACTGTAAAAAAAATGTCAGGTAAGTGTGTATGTGTATATATATACATATACATATACATATATATATATACCTGAAATTTAGAATCAAGAAACAAGCAGAGGAATGAGTTTATACAGGTTCACACAGGTTGACCCAGGAAGATAAGTTTTAAAAAACTATATTCTCTCTCCTTTAGAGACAACATGAGTTCCAGAAAAATTTCATTTACTATTTTTAGTTCCATAAAATAAGATCAAAATTCAAAGTTCTATTACAAAAGCTGTTAATTCAATTCTTCTATTTTGTTAGAGCATCTAAAAGTATTTAATGCTATTTCATAATATCACTAGAAGCATTAATAAAATGAAATTTAATCACTGTTACATTAAAACTAATTGTAAAAGCTTTTACAACAATGTACGATTACAGCAATATATCATTTAATTACTAGTATATATTGTGAGAAACATATCCTTAGGCAATTTCCTCATCTGAGAATCACAGAGGATACCCCTACAATCTAGTATGACTTCAATGTCACTGAGTAATAGCATCTTGTGATACTACCACTTTCAGGTTATCTGTGACTTGGCCACCACATTGCAGGACCGAACTGTATTTCTTTGCAAATATACTGAATTGAGCATGTCATATTATAAAACTATGTATTTAATCCAGCCTTCAAAAAGTATATTTAAATAGGATGGTGAATCTCAAACATCAACATAAATATCAGAAAGTCGATCCTAAAAAGTATAAAAACTAGAAGAAGAATCAGAATATATCATACACAGGTACAAATGATGAATATGATTTTTATGTATACCTAAGTTGAATTATGTATACCTACGATGAATATGATTTTTATGTATACCTAAGTTGTACCAATAAATTTAACTTTTTTTTTTTTTTTTTT